CGGTGCGCTTGATTAAAAACGAATTTTACAAGGCCATTCAGGCTGCTGAAGATAAAGGTGCCGATGGTGGTGAATTAGTCACTATCCTTGGAAGAGCCCGCGCCAAAAAAGGTATGTACGAAGGCGATATGGAAGAAGGGGAATTAGAAATTGGCCAAGCTTCAGCATTGATTGACACCATTCAACCGGCTAAAGAAGTGGTAGATGAAATTTGGAATGAATTTGTAGCCACAAAAAACAAGATATCTTCATTATCTTTGTAACTCACTTTCAATCAAACGCTCATTTGTGCCAAACAATCTCTATATAATCGCTGGTTGTAATGGAGCAGGTAAAACTACTGCATCTTTCACTATTTTGCCCGACATTCTAGATTGCAAGGAGTTTGTAAATGCTGATGAGATTGCAAAAGGCCTTTCGCCTTTTCAACCCGAAAAAGTTGCTTTAGAAGCAGGACGAATAATGCTGACTAGAATTGACGGATTAATGGAAAGTGGAGTGAATTTTTCGTTTGAAACTACTTTAGCCACAAAAAGCTATAAACACAGAATAGCAGCCGCAAAGAACAAAGGATACACCGTAACACTTATATTTTTTTGGCTACAAAATGTGTCGTTAGCTGTTGAACGAGTAAAAACAAGGGTTAAAGAAGGTGGACATAACATTGAGACTAATGTGATTGAACGCAGGTATCTAAACGGCATCAAAAATTTATTCGAGATTTATATCCCAATTGTAGATGAGTTAATGGTTTTTGACAATTCAGAAGGGTATCCTGAATTAATTGCAGAAAAATCTCTAACTTCTGATATGAATGTGATTAATAAAGATAAATTCAGCACACTAAAAACACAAAGCTATGGGACATTATAAAAGAAGCCTTCAACAGGAAAAAATTTTATTGGGCATGGGTAAGGTTTATGAGAAGTTAATCGAGTTTAAACGCAATATTAAAGGAGAATTGGTACTACTAAAAGATCAGCAAATTATTAGAATAAAGCCCTAACTGGGTTAATCAGATATACAAAGAGAATACAACATGAAAAACACATCGTATCCCAAAACCAAAATCAAGATTCTGTTGCTGGAAAACATCAGCGAATCGGCTATCAAAGAATTCACCAATTCGGGATATGTTGAAGTGAAAACCTTCAAAGGTGCATTGGAAGAAGAGGAACTGATTAAGCAGTTGAAAGATGTGCATTTATTGGGCATTCGCTCGAAAACAACCGTTACTCGAAAAGTATTAGAGAAGGCTGAAAAGCTTTTAGGCATTGGCTGTTTCTGTATTGGCGTGAATCAAGTGGATTTGAAAGCGGCTACTGAAAAAGGCGTAGCAGTATTTAATGCTCCATATTCCAACACGCGCTCTGTCGCTGAATTAGTGATGGGGCTAATGATTATGTTGATCCGAAAAGTACCGGATAAAAATAAAGCGGCTCACGAAGGTATTTGGTTGAAAGATGCCAAAGGTTGTTTTGAAATGCGCGGCAAAACCCTTGGTATTATTGGCTATGGCAACATTGGCTCGCAGGTTTCGGTATTGGCGGAAGGCTTCGGTATGAAGGTGGTTTTCTATGATGTAGAACGCAAACTACCGGTGGGAAACTCACAAGCTGTAAGTAAATTGAGCGATGTGTTGAAACAAGCCGACATTGTTACATTGCACGTGCCGAGCGATAAAACAACGCGCAACTTGATTAATGCTACTACACTGGCGCAAATGAAAAAAGGCGCACTGTTATTGAATTACAGCCGAGGCGATGTAGTGGATTTAGCCGCACTTAAAAAGGCTTTAGATAAAGGACATATTGCCGGCACAGCTATTGATGTTTTCCCTGAGGAACCGGAGAAAAACGGAGCGGCATTTCATTCTGAATTGCAGAATGTGTCGAATGTGATGCTAACGCCACACATTGGCGGATCAACAGAAGAAGCGCAGTTTAACATTGGTATTGACGTAGCCGTGAAGATGGTGAACTACTTGGAAAACGGCTCATCATACGGCTCGCACACAGTGCCATCGTTGAATTTGAGTCCGCAAGCCAACACACACAGAATTTTACATATCCACCGCAACATTCCCGGGGTGTTGGGTGAAATCAACACAAAACTTTCATCGCACAACATCAACATTGTGGGGCAATACTTGAAAACCAACGAGCAAATTGGTTATGTGGTGTTGGATATAGAATCGAAATTATCGAAAGAAGCCCTTTCGTTATTGAAAGAAGTGAAAGGCAGTATCAAAGTGCGCATGCTCTATTGATGAACCATTAAATATGTCCTGATGAAAACAAAACAATCCGAGACATTATTAAGCAGTGAATACATTTCGAGCCTCATTCGTAAGCGAAAGCCAAGCGGACATAAAGGCACTTTCGGACATGCACTTATTGTTGCCGGAAGTACCGAAAAAACAGGCGCAGCCATACTCTCGTCAACAGCTGCATTGAAAAGCGGTTGCGGATTACTGACGGCTGCTGTACCCTCATCGGCTGTAACGCCCTTGATGTGCAGGCTGCCGGAGGCTATGGTTTTATTGCGCGACATAGACTTGGCCATTTCTTCTGTCGATATTTCAAAATATGATGCGATTGGTTTTGGTCCTGGCGTTGGGGTTACAAAAGAAAGTGCGGCACTGTTGTTTCATATTTTGTATCAACACCAACAACCTTTGGTAATAGATGCCGATGGAATTACCCTATTAGCGCAGAACAAAGGCTGGTTCGAATTGTTGAAACCCAATATTATTCTAACGCCACATGTTGGCGAATTTGACCGCTTAACAAAGAAGCATACATCACATACCTCACGCTTTGAAACGCAATTGGCTTTTTCGAAAAAGCATAAAGTAACTATTCTACTCAAAGGACCACAAACTACCATCACCACAGCAGATGGTAAGGTATTCAAAAACACAACCGGCAACAATGGCATGGCCACAGCCGGCAGTGGCGATGTGCTGACGGGTATAATCACCTCACTGTGCGCACAAGGTTATGCTGCTGTTGAAGCCGCTTGTTTAGGCGCATACCTACATGGCTATGCGGGCGATGTGGCTGCAGCAAAATTTTCGAAAACGAGTATGATAGCCTCTGATATTGCAGAGAATATTTCGGAGT